ATGCCAGCGCCTCCGAACGAGGCCCCTGGGAACCGACGGTGTTGGCGCCCACGTGCTGTGCTCTCCTCCCGCAGAGAGTGCCGCGGACGGGCTGGGTGTACAGGAACGTGGCGAAGCCGGAGAGCGTATCCGATCACATGTACAGGATGGCGATGATGGCTTTGGTGAGCGAAGACAAGAGCCTTGACAAGGACAGGTGAGGCCGCCGCTGGTTATCGTTAGTGTCGTGGGAGAGCTGCAGCCAAAGCACTTGAAATAGCTGTTGCCCTGAGGAAGAACTTTTGAGACACACCGGAGGCATCCTTCCCCCTCTCCTTTCTCCTCGTCCGTTGGACAGGGTGCTGTTTACCTGGAGAGCTGAAGGGGGCTGAAGACGTCTGTGGCTGAACTCCAAGTGCTGAGTCAGGTCCTTAATGCAAAGGCTCTGAGCTGGGCTTCCCTCAAGCCATAAGTAAGCAGGCTGGAGACACTCGGTTAAAACACAGTCTGAAGCAAGAGACAGCAAAGGCAAAGCCATGCACCGTGTGGGTTTTGACAGACTGAGCAGTCAGCAGTAGGGAGCCTCAGAAATCATACAGCATGGAAGAGAAAGCATCGTTAGTGTTGAGTGAGTTGTCAAGTCTAGTGTGGGGTCATGCTTGCTTTGCCCTTTCAGGAGCTGCTGAAAATAGTGAAGGCTTTTTTTGAGTGTTCTGCTGCAGACTGACATAGGTGCAGAGCTGTGGGTGGCAGATGATATGCTGGATTTGGGATAGTTCCAATCAGATTACCGTATGACTGTTGCAGCATTAATGTGAAGTGCGTAATGTGGTCAGTTATCACAACATTTCTGAAAGCCAAGTGTACAAAAGCTAGGAACTTTATTCTTCAATGCTCTGCTCTTGTACAAACTGCATTTATACCTGAATCTACGTTTAGAAGCAGCAGTAGCTAGAAATCAAGAATTAAAATCATGTCGAGGTGGAAACTGCTCCCCTAAGCAAAGAGGTGAGAAATGTTATGTAGAATTAAAAATCCACCCTGTGAAATATATGAAGGGGATAAATTATGCCATCTCAGCTTTATGAATAAGAAGATACAATTTTAAATGCTGAAAAGCTAATTATTCTGTCTTTGCTTCTTGTCAGATGCATACGATTGGCTTTGGTTCACGACATGGCTGAATGCATCGTTGGAGACATTGCTCCTGCAGATAATATCTCCAAAGAGGAGAAGCACCGGAGGGAAGAGGTATGGACGTAAGGTGCGAAGCCACACCCACGGAGCATTCTGCGTGTTTTTCGTGTTCCAGTGGCAGCGAAGAGACCCCCTAAGCAGCACCATGTTGTCGTTGGCATCAGACGAGCGTGCAACGAACCACCAAAGTTTCTGACCCGTGATGTTTGTACGTGTAATGTCACGAAGTACGAAGTTAGGAAGGAGAACCTTTGAAAGTCATCTTCATGCTGGCCATTTATTCCTGAACCAGCTGGATTTTTGGGAGCCTGAGTTGGTCATGTTGACCACCCTTACTGAGAGGTGGGGAGCAGGGAATTGGTGACTGAGAAGGGTGGATGGCAGGCAGTTTTGTGACGGGTCACTTGTGTGGTGCCAGATTGTGTGGTCGGGACAGAGACTTATTTAAACCCTTTGCATGGGACTCCAGACACAGGTGCGCAGGCCTGTGGTGTCTGTGCGTTATTTTTGTGCCTTGTGTGTATCCAAACTGTGAGTTTGCTGCACTGTTTGCAGAAACTCTAAATCCCTCCTCCAGCCACAGCTAGAGGGCAACGTGATGCCTCAGGAGCTCTGTAGAGGATACAATTACCTCCTCAGCGTGGGTAAAAAAGACCATTGCCGTGATTATTTCCCTCCTACCCACTTTTATGCTTATCTGTTTAAAACCTGAGGGCAGGGGGGTAGGCTGTGACTAACCCTTACACTAAACAAAACAAAAAAAAAAAACCCTCTTTCCTGAAAGCCTCCAAAGGTGGATTTGTCGCAGAGAATCAGGCTTCAGCTTTGCCTGGGGGTAATCCTCATTTGTATTTAGGCAGTGAAAAAGGTATTTTGATGCCTAAGCATGCTTCAGAAGGTTTACTTAGGCATTTGCAGCTCCTTCTGCTCCCGTTTCACTCAGTGAGGACTTTGCTGTTGACTTTGTGGGATGGAGGGTCAAGCACTGAGCATTCCGGCTAACCCTGAAATACTCTGTTGTAACAATACACCAAGGGTAACGGTTCCGTGGGGTGGCTTGAGCTGAATTATCGATACGCTGCTTCCGCTGCAGAGTTCTCCTTTTTTCCCCTTTGCGCTACAGCTGATGTGGAGCTGGTTCTGAAGTTTGCTGCTGGTGCAGTAAGTTTAACCAGCCTGTCTCACCGAGGCTAAGGAAGCAGAAAACGAACTTCATTTACAAAAAAAAGCCCCAAACGTTTGGGTTTGTTTTTTTTTCTTTGGGGTTGGGTTTTGTTTTGCCAGATAAGTCATTTTGGCTTGCTAACCTTGAAATCTGATGAGCTCCAGAGCTAGAAGGAGGCGAGAAGGAAGGAGACCTTGAAACTTCAGTAGTGGGAGCAGCTGATTCAGTTCAGCCGTACTGTGAATGCAGTTGGAAGTGAAGGAAGAGTCATGGCACACCACCCCTGTCTTGCCTGTGATGTTGGTTGTTCCAGAAGCAGCCCTTAGTGGTGTGAGGAAAGCAGTAGAACAGAAATGAGGCTGATAGGCTGGGAGAGCACCAAGAGCATGCAGAGCAGTTTCTGCTTGCTGGCTAGACCATCAGTTTGATACCGCGTTAAACCTCGTGCCGAGGTTTTTGTTGGTGAGCGAATGGCGTCTCAGCCTGGGAGCACGGCGTTTTCTTGCTGCAGAGTATTAAGTTGGGGGATTTTTTTCCTCTGTTTTTCAAAGTTGGGGATTTTTAAAGGCTTGTGTGGCCTGCCTGACAGTAGCTGTTCTCAGCCCTACCAGTGCAAGTGTGCTAGTTGGGTGTTTGGGAGGGGGCAGCTGCTTGTCAACACTAGGAGTTAGTACTTTGCAGCTGCTTTTATGAATTGCACCTATTAAGTTCAAATGTTGCCTTCACTAGTGAAATCTGGAAGGCAGAGCTGGTAACTGACGGCAGTTCTCTGGCATTTGACTTGCCTGTTTTGCTCTGGGCTTCTGCTTGGACTCTTGAAGATATTGGATACGTTTTCACGTTGTTTTTCTTTCATTTTCTAACTGTTCATTTCAGCAGCCCTCAGAAAAAATCCTCTGCTGAGTGGTCCTGCTGTTCCTCTGGCAGGTTGATGTACACGTGCACTTTAGAATAGCATGCTGTGTAGTGTATGTTTTACAAACTTGGTAACAAGTAGTTAATTCTTCAAAAAAAGATAACGATAGAAATGTGCTTGCTCAAAGAGTGGATAAATGGAAATGTCTTCTTTCTTTTTTCCCTCAGGCAGCTATGCAAGAACTGACCCAGCTTCTATCAGAGGACCTCAGAAAAGAAATCTATGAACTCTGGGACGTAAGTTGGCATTCTTTTAATCCTTTGCTAAAATTCACTGTCCTCTTCCTGTTTACCTATGAAACTCTGTCATCTCTTATTCTGACCTCACGCAAGGTAGAGTAATTTCCTTGGGAGCTAATGGTATGAGTCCAGGTCACTTTGGAATCCTTTTTTGAAAAAGAAAACTCAAACTTTGGTAAAGTAACCAGCTTCTGCCTTTGGCCTCTCAGAGTTCTAGATGAACCTGACCAGGGTTTGGTTTTTGCAACTGAAGGAAGGGTTTGTCCTCTACATCCAGCCCTCTTAGACAGAAATCTGTTTTTTCACGGTATTAGCTCCTTTGCTCACAACTGGCCATTTGCAGCTCATGATCTTTTAATACAGGAGATGATGGGAGCTGATGATGCTATGGAGTATTTTCTGCTTTTTATGCAAGTAATAATTAATGTGGCTTCCATTTCTTTATTATACAGCCCATTAGGCTAAAATATTTAGTAGCTCCTGGTTTAAACTTGAATGTGGTGTACTGACACAGAACAGTGCTTTTCTACAGACAACAGACCGCTGACTGGTCTTGGGTACCTTAAATGTTTGTATTGGAAAGTATCTTCTGTGTTTCAAGGGGATTCAGCTTTCTGATGGGTGAACTCATGCTGTTAATGCAGGAGATCTTTCATACTTGCAGACTAGGGATGAGTAGAGTATTTCCAAATAATTCAGGTTTGTGATTACTGTGCTTTATCTTCTCCTGGCATACAGTTGCGTGAGGGCAAGCGCATCTACAATCTCCCGTTCCCATGCTGTTGCAAACAAGGCATTACACGTTTCTTGGACCCTGTGACCCAAAACTGTATTTTACGCTGACATTTTTACTTTTACACTTGGATTGTATTTAAGTTGCAGATATTTGCAGCCAATTTCTTCCTTTTCTTTGCAGCACCCTGTCTGTTTGGGTTGGGTTGTTGTTGTTTTTTTTCTTGGTGTGGTTGTGTGGTGAAACTGGCAATGGGGGTGGGTTTTCAGTGCAATAGTTCAAGGGGGTAAACCAGCATTACCCGATCTGGGAAATACAGTGTGTGTGTTTACTTAGTGAGCACTGGTTTCTTCTCCCGTGGGAAGCTGTTACAATTGAGGAAAGGGAGTTTTTGACAGATTAAATCAGTCCTGTCAGACTTTTTTTCTTTGCATATATGTATTTTTCTTTGCCTCAGTCTTCTCTTACGATTGTATAAGAGCTGGTTCCGTGTGCAGTTAGTTCTTCGTGTTAGCCTTTTATCATTCTCACTAGTCATCATTTAATACACGCGCCCTTTTGATACGCATTCTTGTGTTTCTACCTCCAAGATAACTTCCTGCTGCATTGGGTCTCCATTGGGTATGAGCAGCGAGCGTACCCTAAAACTCCAATGCCCACCAAAATTTGTTGTAGTCCCTCTACTCGTATTTTGAGTGGAACAACTAGTGTTGCGCTAGGTGTTTCTTAACAAATGAATTTGTTAAGAAATCATGAATTAACAATGAATTTGTTAAGAAATTTGTAAGAAATTGTTTCTTAACAAAAAAAAAAATGAAGGCAGAAAACAAGAAGCCTCTGATGGCTTGGTATGATACTCTGCTCTCGGCGAACCCTCTGGTTTCTTCTTGTGAGTGAAGGGCATTATGGTGCAGAGCGGAACAGTGGCTGGGGCAAGATCTGTTGACACTGAGCAAGTCCTTCCTGCACAGCTCTGCCCTCGTCTGCCCCTTTCCCTTTCAGCCTCTCAGGGGCTATTGGTTTGGACTCTGCTAGTGGACACGGCAAGTGTAGTGTAGGGGAGAAAGGTAGCTGCAAGATGCCTCTGATATCACAGAATCATGGGATGGTTAGGGTTGGAAGGGACCTTAAAGCCCATCTAGTTCCAAGCCCCCTGCCATGGGCAGGGACACCTTCCACTAGACCAGGTTGCTCAAAGCCTCGTCCAGCCTGGCCTTGGACACTTCCAGGGATGGGGCATCCACAGCTTCTCTGGGCAACCTGTTCCAGTGCCTCACCACCCTCTCTGTGAAGAATTGCTTCATTACATCCAATCTAAACCTCCCCACTTTCAATTTAAACCCGTTACCCCTTGTCCTGTCACTACAGACCCTTGTAAAAAGTCCCCCCCAGCTTCCTTGTAGGCCCCTTCAGGTACTGGAAGGCTGCAATAAGGTCTTCCTGGAGCCTCCTCTTCTCCACGATCAAAACATAACTGAAAATTCAAAGCATCGTTCAGATCCAGACAGAGTAGCGTACGAATCGGTTGTGGCTATCAAAATACGATTTCTGACTCTCCAAGGCAAAGCAGTAAGCACAAGAGCAAACAGGCTCCTAACAGCGTGTTTGACAAGGAGGTAACCGTGACCCCGCTAGAATTACAACCTGCTGTGAAGGACACCTGCACCCACGCTTGTTGTCTTCAGATGCAGAAAGCGATGCCGTGTTCTTTGGTCAGCGGGAAGACTCTTCCTGGGCTTGTGCCGCAGGTGGGAGTAGCGGCACGTCGTGGGCGGGAAGCACAGACAGCCCCCGTGTGGCCTTGTGCCTCTGCTCCGAAAGCCGTGGTGGTGGCGATGCGTGGGGTCAGACCTGCGGCGGGTATCGAGGTGATGGTAACCTGCTCAGGAAGAAGCCCTTTCCCGCGGTTGGTTTTGGAAGTCAGGGGAAGAGCAGCTGACGAGACATCGACTACAATGCAATTAAGTTTCCGAAAAGAGAAAACGAAATGGCAAACCCCTCTGCAGGTGTCACTGGAAGCAAGTGACAGCGGAGTTGTTCGGGTTGACTAGGATTGTGACCGACTCGCCAGCCTGTACTGACAGTGACTGCAGAGAGGGGAAAGGTAGCCGAGACCTTAACAGACTCAAAGTCTGAAGGAGGAAACCCCTGAACGACTGCCCTCCCTACCTCCTACAGAGACAAAAGGACAGACAGCTCAGACCAAAGGGATGAAAAAGGAGTGACTGGAGAAATGCAAAGAACAACCCCTTACCAAAACAGCAAGTGGTACAGAAAAGTGCAAAATGGGTCTTAAAAATAGGTAATGGTAACGCATAGGCACACGCCGGTAATCTGTGGCTTTAGCCAGGCCTGGAAAGAAAATGTTGCTAAATGGAACCTAGTATTTAACTTGAGTATCGTGTGGAGTTGTCTCCCTGTGGTCCCTGATTCACGGGTCTGTTTTTAAGCTGAAGCATGCAAAAGGTTCTCAAGTCCTGTTGCCTTTAATAGAAACGCAGCACAGAACAGTGGTCTGAAAAAGGGGGTGAAAGCCGTAACTGCTCTGAGTATTTATGGGGTGGCATATACTGGTGAAGGAAACCCCGGATAAAGGAAGGGCTTCTAATACTCTTGTTTCAGCACAACTTTTTCTTTCTGTCTTGTTTTTTCCTGTAACGCGCCGCTGTGCAGGAGTACGAACACCAGCATACCGCTGAAGCCAGGTTTGTGAAGCAGTTGGACCAGTGCGAGATGATACTGCAAGCGTTTGAGTACGAAGAGCTGGAAAACAGACCGGGCAGGCTGCAGGATTTTTACGATTCAACTGCTGGTATGGCATTTGGGCTTTTCGATTCCTCTTTCCTAAGTGAAATGAAATACGTGTTAAATTGCCTTTTTTCTGATAGACATCCAGAGCAAGTGAGAACCGGTTATGTTACTCATCGCTCAAGTGCCCCAAATATTTTTGGGGAGGCTCAGCTGCAGTGTGAAAATACCTTACGTTCATCTGTATGTCCCGAACCCGGATTTTGCTCACGCCAAGTTCCTTTTGCATCCCTTGTTACCTAGAGAGGGGCCCGGCATGTGCTGAGGGATGTCCCTGTGCCGTCAGAGGGCTGTGAAGGAGGCTGCAGCGTTCGCTGATGTGCTCTCAGCAGCTTCTTTCTGCTTTGTCAGTGTTCCATGAGCCGCTGAAGTGAAATCCCTTATCCCTGCGTGGCCTGTGCCCATGTGACCTGCCCAAGGTGCACGTGGGGACCAGCTCAGTGAAACGTTTTGGGTGCGATTGTCGTGCTTACTGTAGCCACCGCTTTGCATCCTTCCCGGTGGAAACTGAGAGCGGAAAGGAAAAACAGGTAACATAATGGTGTTCAGTATTTCAGCAAGAGAGCTGAACACCAGAAGAGGACTGTGACTGTTATCCTACCCTGGGTGACAAATCTAGGGACAGACACACTCGGGGAGAGGACAAGCCATCAGCAGACACAGTCCCTGACAAGTCCCGTTTATTCTTTGGTGACTCCGCGGGGAAATAATGAGCTCTCTGAAAAAGGCAGTAGTTTGATTAGGGAAGAATGGGGAAAAAGGACACCACGGGCATGGCTGGAATACTTAGTATTCTGACTGACATCTTCGCCCTCCTGCCAGGCCTGGGTAACTTCAGCCGAGCTGGTGTCTCTGCAGAGCCTACAGCACATACCCACCTGCACCTGTATCCGGGGAGGTTTTCCGTACGTGGATACACTGGATGGGCTTGTCCTCCTCCTCTTCTCCGCTCTCGAGTGTCTTACACAAACACCTGGTGGTCAGTTGAGTTTGGGGTGAGAAACTGCTGTAGCAACTCTCAGGGTTACTCCACAGTTGCAGTCAAATGGGAGTACTCCCTTAAAGGAATAACTTGGTGTTTATTTTGATCCTAAAGCACTGTCACTGCTAACGTCTCGCTGCCAACCTTTCACACACAGGAGGAGAAGGAGCGTTTTTAAGTAACTTTGCCTTTCTTTTGCTTTGCAGGTAAGTTCGTTCACCCAGAAATACTCCAGCTTGTATCTCTGATTAACGCAGAAAGGAATAAAAAAATAGCCGCTGCATCTCATCCGCATTCCTGAGGTGTTCCTGGATGCTGTGGCTGTAATAAACATTTAGTTTTACATTCCTCGTGGTGTTTTTCCTCCCGTGACGTCACTGGTTCTGCCAGCAGTGCCCAGGGCCGCTTAGACAGGAGGAAGTAGCCCAGTGGCCTCCCACATCAGGGGCTGTCAAGGACCAGCTATTTAGAACGGGGGGTGTTTTTCTGTAGTCAGCTCTGACGGATGCCGTCTCGGTCGGGAACAGGTTCTCCGCTGGGGAAACTGAGGCAAGTTTAAAACTCAGCCGATGGCAGTCCGATCTGCTCACCCCAAGTACCATCTGCATTGGATGGGTCAGCACCTTTGCACTGCGCTGCCCTGGAGCGAGACTGGCGACTGCGTTTCTCTGGCAGCTCTGGATGGAGCCGGACGCCGATGAGATTTCCTTGGAGCGCCTGGGCCTAACGATGGGATGGGGGGTAAAACTGGTGAGCTCGTTAGTTACGTTTTCTCGATGCATTGGTTGTTTCATCCAGCGTTGCCGCGGTTCGTGTCTTGCGTCAGGGAAGGGCGTGGCCATGTTGCTATTCCTGACTCCCCTCGCCCCCGACTGCCGCTTTTACAGGCACTGGATACTCGCGGAGTAGCCGACGCTGGGAGGGGCTGGGGGAGCTTGCGCAGTCCAACGCAAACTCCGGTGTAAAGCCAGTGCACCCTTGGTGACGCTGCTGCAGGCGGGTACCGATGCGCTGCAGGCGGGG